GATAAGAGTGTCCTACAAGAGTGTCGCGCAAGAGTGTCCCACAAGAGTGTCCTACAAGAGTGTTTCGCAAGAGTGCCCCACAAGAGTGTTCCGCGGGGGTGTCCCACAAGAGTGACACGAAATTAAGAGTGTGCCACAAGAGTGTCCCCCAAGAATGTCCAACAAAAGTCCTACAAGAATGCCGCACAAGAGTGTCCTACAAGAAAGTGTCAAAAATTGTTTGAGCGTTTGTTTTCGAATGTATACCTGTTTGCATTCGGGTGCGTGAGTTCCATTTTGTTTTGCAATCTATTTCTCCCAACCACGAATGCTGGTTCTGGTCCAGTGATGAAGTTTTACAAAGAGACAAACGACGTACAGGAAGGAAGCTGCAAATGTGCAGATCAACACAGAAGAACACTAGTTAGTTTTGTTTGTCACGCATGTTTTGTTTCATTGCCACCTATACAGTAGTCATAATAACTTACAATATCTTACAACTTATTTGTTCCTGCATCCGGCAAGCAGTGCGTGACTCCAACATGTCATCAGTAGCACAACAGAGGATTGTCCTTCTAGAAAGAATGCTTGTCACGAAAGGTAGCTTGAGCTACCTGAGTTCTCCTTGCTTTAGCAAAAATGTATTACAATCAGGAGTTGGGATTGTGCATTGAATTTGGTCCTGTAAGAGTTGATTCTGTTCGTCGGGGCCCCCCCCCTGGATCAAGTCCCCCCTGCGCCGGTTCACGCCGTCGTGGACTTCTACCAGGGTTACTTGTGATTGCCTGCTACCTTTCGTTCACCCCCTCCTCTCTCAAGTCCAGTATCGAACATTCAAGATCGCTCACAAATTATATGAATAACGCTAGCAGCTAGGCTGTTGTACCCAATGCTCCTTTTGACATGTACCCCCTCCAAAACACCCGCAATGAATCAATCGAGGTAATTCTCCTACTTTATCTTGCAGGAACCTTTCAAACTGTAACTGGTGTCTAGGATGTTGTGAAGAATTCGCTGACTTAGACCATGCGGAGGTGGCCGCAAACTGCAACGAATCAGACATTTATGGTTTAAACAATCTCTCGAAAGACTCAAAACGGCTGCAAACACGAAACAGCTCAGCTCGCAAATAAGAAGCATTAAAAAACATGACCAGCCCAGAGTAAAAGCAATTGGGCACACCGAAGCTGACCGGTTCACCACGGCCTCTGGTGTGTTGATGCAATTTCATGGACAAAATGTTCATCGGAGACTAGAGAGGTGCAACAAAATTTCATCGCAACCTTTGGCCAGCTGGGACAAGTACAAATCCTGGACTCTCTTATAAGGGCTAGTAACACTCCCAATACTCTACTCGTAGTATTCAATAGAGGTTGTCCAGAGTCCCTCCGAAACCGCAGTGGATACAGAATAGGTCTTGTGCCTTATGCTAGTTGTAGTCCTTCACCTCCAGCAGGAAGGGCTTTTACCTCTAGGAATACCAGTGGCTATTCGGTGTTTGGGGCGTCATTTAGCTGCAGAGTTGAATTATTTTCACATTTGCCCGTCTCTGGGGGGCTTCCTCTATCTCCTCTATCTATGATCAGCTTGCTTCCCACCAAGTGGCCCAGAATCTTTTTCGTGAAGTTTTCAAGCTGCCTAGTAGTGCTTACCGTAGTTAAAGTTGGGCACCGAGGGCAGATTTGCACCTGTCAAGTGCAGCATTGCAGCAAAAGCTTAATTGACATTGCCGCGTTGCTATATACATTGCTTCACGTTGCTTGTATACATTTCATGCAAGGACACTTCTGGACTTTGTCAGTGAGACCTTGACTCCTTTCCTCATGAAAAAGGGCCAGGTGGTGCAGCAGAGTGTTTGTGAATTCTTGAGGGCGTTCGGCCAAATTCCCGAATTAACTTGAGTCGCTGAAACTGAATGGCTAAAGTTTTGACTTGTACTGAGTGCACTTGTGCCAGCATGCCTCTGCTGTGGATTTGGTGAAGATCTCCAAGTCTGAGAAGGCAGGACTTGCCAAGCTTCATTGTGACGAGCTTTCCACAGTTTCGAGCCTTCACCAAACTCATACACTAGACCTTCAAGTGGCTGGTGAGAACGGAAAAGCGTCTCATTCTGCATTTCTTCTCCAACTCCTCCTTGCTGTGTAGCAGCAAACACAGCGAAGGGTGGGCTTGTTTTGGAAAAGCTCCTCGATGTGGACAAGATGGTGGCCGAGTGGGGCGCTTTGTAAATTCGAGAAGTCTTTTGCATGCCTTTTGGGTACTCCCTTTGGGTCCTGCCTGTAGACACTGTATGTTTTCAGCTCTTTGTTCCGAGGTTTATTCCATATCGTTCCGGGTGGAAACGTGAAGAGGCAATGACATGGGGGTTGCCGGGCGAGGGGGCAACAACTTTGGACCAAACTTTGGATATCCACTTGTGTCGACTCACAAGGTTTCAGCCGGTGGCAACTTCAAACCGGCGCTGCAGCGCTTGGCCAATGGAGATCGCCACACAAGGCACTCAAGCCACATGGAACCGCACAACATCACATGCAGTTTGTTAATGTTCTCCTCCAGACTCCAGACAGCCCTGAATGTTTCTCCTCAGCTTGGAGGAGTATGATGTGCACTGGTTTGCTGCAGATTGCAGGCTCCAGAGCAGGCCGATTTCAAGCCCCAAGCCATCCAAAGTTGATTTCGGATTGTTCACAGCTTCCAAAATTGTGAAGGTGAACTGGACGACTGTTACCGCTTTGTGGAATTTGATCTTGGTGGCCTTAGCTTGCTGACGAAGGCAAGACTTTGTTTGTTTCGTTCAAACTAAACAACCCCACGCACTTGCTCTTTTCGCAAAGCAGGCCCGAGCTCATGCTCAGAAAGACGGCCAGAACATTGACATTGCACACAAGCCGCTTTCCGAATTCCATGAATCATCGAAGAATCAGGTGCTTCTTGAAAAACGTTGACATGCTTGATTTTGCATCCAGCTACCAAGGAATTTCTACTACCAGAATGAGGCCATTACTACAAACATTGTTTGCAAGCCACAACTGACGCAGTAGGAAGAGGAAGGTGCAAATTCCTGGTAGGTTAAAGCGCTGACCACATATTTCAAAATGATCCTGGGCAAGACAGTCAGAACCCAAGAAATGCTGTTCCTGTAGTAAGGTGCCTTACTAGTAGTAACAAGAAGCTACTAGAAACATGTGCATCGCTAGTAGTAACAGGTGCCTTACTAGTAGTAACAAGAAGCTAGTAATTGAATTCCTTTTGCTTTCGGATCCAGCATTGGGGATCCAGTCTTGCGTACACACTTTCAACCATCAAGTCCCAGGACAAGACCATTTTGGCCATCCAGCGGAGTGGAAAGATTCACCAGGCACAAGTGTGCTGTGTGTAGGAACAGAGCACTGTGCAGGATCATGATTGCACTCCAGCATCAATGCCCTGGTTTGCTGCCATTTAGTCTCTTCTGAAGGGAGACAAGAAGTGAAGGAGTAAGTACAAGCACCCCCAAAGAAAGACACTTGAACAGCAAGAGAGCAGAACACATTTTCAGCCATTGGCGCAAGTTCTAGTTCACATCCTTTAATGGCAACATGCTTCTCTCCGTGAAGGACTCAGCACATTTGGTCTCTCAAGTGCCTTGAAGTCTCAACATTTCGCATACGGCATGCACAGGGCACATTCATTTTCGAAGACCTTGGAGGACTCTCTTTTGATTTCATTTCTCTGCCCTACTGACGACCGAGGCTTTGAGGCTTGGCCGAATCCCACGCGAAATCGTCTTTGCTGTGGCAAAAGGCAGGAAACCAAGCATGGCCTGCTGTGGCCTGAAGCAAAATCTGCTGCCAAAAACGATTTGAAAGGTGTTCACAAGCGTTTTTCACTCAGTTGGTAGAACACGACATCACAGCTGCGCTGTAGCTTTCAGAGCCCTCAAGATTTTGCTCGTGTCCTGTGCATTTCCATTCGATTGCCTGCGGTGATTCGAAGTCTGTGCAATACGCCTATCAGAGCCGTGGCCAAAACTGCTCTCAAAGCGCCATTGATCGTTTTGCTGGCCGCTGTCCCCGCTCTTCCCGCTGTCGCCCCAAGCTGTCACATCCTACATAATTTGCCTCGGAGTCGCAGCGCTTGCCCAATGACAATTTCCAATGAGACTTTGCAAAGCATATCAAACAAGGCTACTCGCTTGGTGAGCCAGCTGTTACATGGTTCAACACAATTTAACATGTCACAACCGGCATTACTTACAATGCTGCAATGCTGGTTAAATGCTGGAACCGACCACACAATGCTGTGAGCTTTGGTGCCAGAAAGTTCAGAGGACAACTGACAACTGTGTCCAAAAGCCTGGTTCTGTGGGGCATACATTGCGCAACACTTGAATTCGATTTTCCTTACTGTATTTCATTGGACCATATTCTTGAGGACTGTTCATATTTGTCGCAGTTCTCACACTGTTGGGAGCCCTGAGCCATGCACTTGCGTGGCCAGGGATGTATGGCCGTTCCAAGCGATGCTTCAAGCTTGCTGCTGTGCGTGTGATGAAGGATCTGAATCATAGGCGTGGGCCGTGAGCAGTTTATATAAAAGCTCATCGCTTGAGCGCTGATGCCTGGCTTGAAGGTACTGGCTAAGAAGAAAAAGGAGGAAGCAGATGCGAATTCTGTGGATTACTCGCATACAGGCTGTTTGCACCTCAAGGAACTTCTTGCGGACGCTTGATGCTATTGGCCCACAGCTTGGTACGTGCAAGACTTGGAAACGTGCTGATTCTGAGGCGTGCAGAGAGTATGGCATGTTCCCCTACAGCCGGCTCATCTCTGGATTGACACGTGCCAACGTGCGCCTAGTTTGTTCAATCGCATGCCAAGACTCAAACCCGAACTTGGAATGCCAGATGGCTGTCGACCGCAAGAGCTTATGCATCTTAGCAGAGACTGAGCCAGTAAGCTTCAAATGCGTGCTGGATGAGGCCAAGAGGCAGGGACATGAATGAAAAAGTAACACAATGAGAGAAGGTAACTCAATGCGAAGGATGATGAAGCGGCAAACCCTGGAATCTGTATTGACCTCAGCAAAAGATGCAACTTGTAAAGGAGCAAATAGCTACTAGGAACAAGGACGCTACTAGTAGCTCCTGGCATTACTAGTAACAAAGGGCATCGCTCTAGGAGCAAATAGCTACTAGTTAGAACATTCGATCCAGATTTGCACTTGGGAGCCAAGGAGCGAAACCTTTCCCAGTTCTGATCAAAAAGGAATGGCCCTTGCCCTTGCAACATGCCAAAGTGCTTGTAGAGACAGCATTGGAGGGAGGGTTGAGATGAGACCACATTATATAGAGACCGGAAAGGATTGCTTGTGCTTTAAGCATGGAAAATGGTGCTGGCGAAAGGGACATTGGAGAGTTCAATACAGAGCTCTTGGATTGCACTGAATGCAAATCATGTGATAGGTTGTGGAGAGCACTTTGGAGGACATCGTGGAGAAACAGCCCACACCTCTGAAACTGTCAGTCGGACTCGCTATGTGCTGCGGCACTGTGTGAGCGGTTCTTGGTGGGCTGAGTGGCTTAGTGCTTGGCCACCAAGCCCTGCATTGCTCAAGGCCGTTAATTAAGGAGGGTTGCAGCCTCAGAGTTGGACGTGAGTAGCTTCCCAAGTGCAAACTCATGCGCGTAAATCAGAAGTATCAGGACATGTTGCTCACATGCACAGTCAAAAGGCTTTGCACTTACGACATGTGGCCATGAATTGGTTTTGGTGCTCTATCTACTGTGGTTTGATTGCTTTTCTTTGTTCCCTTTTGTCGGGCAAAACGCGCCAGCTGCTCAACGGCGTCTCGGAAGACTCGTGGCACTCCTCAAGGAGGTGAGACTGAAATTTGAGATCTGGACTTTAATTACAGTGTACACAGATGTACAAACAACTTAGTTCTATTAGATGTCACTCTTTCTCTTGGTTTCCCTGCAACATTTTTTGGTGAATTGCTTGAACTCTGGACTCAAGCCCGGCTTGAGAGAGAGGGCCATCAGAGAAGGAGACCTTTGAAGACAGGGAAATACAGGCAAGTTGAAGGAAGGAAGTTAGCAGAGGAAGAGATGGGAAGCTGAGGAAGGGAAGTTGAACGAAGTACAGGAACTCGCTATTGGATTGAACGAAGTAAGGGTCTGCAGTCAGTCTGCACCATCACCCCGTTCCCCAGCTATTTCACCCAAGCCGAGTCAACCTGCCTTCGAAGCCAGTCCGCAGCATGGACTCCTAAATGGTACAAGCAAGAAGAAAAGTATGGATACGGCAGACTCTTAATCAGCGTGTTTATTGGAAAGGCAGGTGTTGTTCAACAGGGGCTACATACATTTCAGTGTTTGCTTTCGTTGTTGGGCACATTAGGATGATTAAAAGCAGCATGGTGACATATTGGATTGCACATGATTGCACTATTGTTTGAGCGAACAATCAAAGCATGAAGGTGCAGAAATCGGTGGAATCTGAGAGCGGCCCATGGGTGCGACCGTCAGTATGACTCTACGGTTCTCTTCCTTGGCGGCTTGCACTTGTACTAGTACAAACTCAACACAGGTGCTGCAATGGCAGCGTGGCCAGTTGGTCCTGGGCAAGTTTGAGCTGGTCTGAACCTTAAATACTTTAATTTCTGACATGCTGAACCTGTGCTTTTGAGGTGGAAATGGAGAAGGAGAGCAGGGTATGAAACCTGTGCAAAACTAGTTTCTTTTTCTCAAAGGTCTTTTGCGCTTCGGGTACCAGATTGAACGTGAGCACAGTACCTATGTGAACAAGCAAAGGAATCAATCAGGCCGACACAAGCTGGACTTGGCAAAGCCAGTTGTGCAGGAGATGGCAGTGGCTTGAGTCTGGGACTTGCTGTCTTTGCGCAGACCGAATAACTGTGGTTACAAAGTTGCACATGAGTTTCATCAAGGTTGGATGTTCGGCGTGTGAGAGGCACAAGTATTAGTTGTAGCATATCAGGTCGCTGTACATTTTACTCTACTTTCAATGGAACAGCATGTGAAATGTATCAAACAAGTTTTTGGTGTTTGCAACTCCGGGCAATCTCACACAGGCATAATCTTCTGCCAGCGCATGGAAAGACACCGATTTTGTTGCCAATACAGAAACCGTTGTTCTGGCATGGACTGTTTTGCACGGCCCTTTGATTTGATGCATTTTGATGCAACTTGCTTCATGCCTTTGTTGCAATCAAAGTATCAAGATGCCGAACCCAAGTACGTTGTAGAGGACGCTGGCTGCGAAGGCAGGCTTGCTTGTTAGGAGGAATTTCTTTCTGGCGTGAGCAACATTTTGAGGCTGCGGATGAGAAGAAGCCTATGCTTGCCTGGAAGCTAAGGTTTCAAGGTATTTTTTCAACTTGTATTTGGATCGCCGTGGATAGTTGCTAGGCTTGCACTTTGGCAAGCCCAATCGCAAAGGCAGGATGATTTATGCATTTTGCAGGCAGCAGCCACACTGTTGAGGCAACAGGAGAAACTCTTTTTGGACATCGCTAGTAGGTTGGAGGCCATCGCTTGTAGGTTGGAGGCCATTGCCATCGCTATCAGGTTGAAGCTCACCAAATCTTACTGCCGTGCAGGCTGCCGCACAGCAGAAGTCACGGACATTTGCAAGCTGATGTGGTGAAGGTAAGGCAACCATAGTCGATGCAGCACTTGCCACGTTCAGCAGGCTTCTTCCTGTTCTTCCTGTTTTTGCTTTTCTTTATGTAGACCCCCTTTTTGGACAGTCTTTATCTTCGGACCCTCTAGACTCTAGATCTGATAATTCTTTAGACTTTTTCATTTAAATACATTTGGTTTATTTCTCTAGATCTCTTTTTAGACCCTTTTTCAAAGACTATTTTTTTTTAGACCGCCTCTTTTTTTCTAGGCACTTTTTTTTGGACAGACAGTAGACCTCTTTTCTTCGATGTTTATTTTCTTCCTGTTCTTCCTGTGCTCTTGGGGTTGTGATATTGCGGGTTCGTTGAGTCATATCTTTGAGGGGAATTTCTGATGTACTCCTGCCTAGCATACCCGTTGCAGTTCAAGTTAATCGTGTTTGTAGACGGGGACAGGCTATACAGAAAGGACTCTATCATAGACACTGTTCTAGAATTTCAATTTATATATAGAAATTATATTTGCAGGGGACTCAGCTTCGTTTCCGAAAACACACAGCATGAGCTCTGAAGAGGGAGACACAACAGTTGAACTACCACTACAGACTTCTGGTATTCTCTGGTTCTACCAACACACACCAGTTGTGAGCTGTAGCAGGTGTGAGTTTATGGCCACTACCATACTATCATCCCATTTGTCTCCAAAAAGAGCCCCAAAGCCGTGAAAGATCGGCTTTGCCTTTGACTGAATTTTAGTGGCAGCGGAGTCTGTGGAGCTCTGTATACTGGCATTTATGCCTTGGTTCAGCGTCTTGCCAAATATGTGTTCTGGGATGATCATGAGCAGTGGATGGAACTTGGAGTGAAGCTCCTTTGTCAACTCTTCCTCCACGAGGGCCTATAGTTCATGAGGGGCTTCTTGAATTTGCAAACGCTGGTTGTACCGTGCTGCCTCCGTCAGATTTAGGTCATCTACCCAAACAAGCCACTTTTCATTCCCGCTGTTTCACTCAAGGTTATGATGATTGGTGAGCCGGTGGTGCCTTCCGCAAACAAGAGTTTTTTTCTTTATATGCTTTCCCACATCCCCTGTTAGCAGCCTGCTTTGTCCTTCTTTACCTTTTGTTCCTCCCTCTCGCTCGCTCTCTCTCTCTCTCTGCGCTTACCTCAACTTGTTGATGTTGCTTTCTTGGAGTTACCTGTAGTTACCAGGTCTGAAGATGTTTGGACCGGTGTTAGTGGCACCTGCTTTGCCTTCGCCACATCTTTGTGGGTTGGGGGACCTGTGGCCTTCTGGGCACTCTTTTGAGTTTGGTCCAACGTTTTGAAAGTTTGGGCTTAGGTTTGTGGCCCTGCGTTCAATTTGAACTAAGGGAAACTGAAGCCCTTTTTTCATGCATACTGTTTGAGGCAATATGCATGTGTTTGTCTTAGACCGCAGTGCTTCGCTTTGATGTGACTGGTTGCCCAGTGTTGGCACTGAGGTTCTTTGAAGACCACCCTCTTGTCTTGGCTTGCCAAGCTTGGCGCGGTCGAATCACTGCAGGTCTTGGGCTATCACTTGGCCCCTGGAGCTTTGCCCAAGTCGCGATGCCATGGCTGCCCTGTTGCGCAGCTTGGTTCGAGTTTTGGAAGAAATTCCTGCGGTGCGTTTTCGTCCTGGGTTGACCCACAGCAGCATGTTGCAAGTGGCTACACCGTCCACTCCCCAAGAGGCGCGCAATTACATGTCAGACTTTGGGGCCTCGGATTCTGACGCAGGCTCTCAAGCAAGGGTGTTAAACACCGGGAGAGAGGCATTCACGGCGTTTGCTTTTGGGGGCATTGTGCGAAGCCCAAGGCCGAAGTGCGAGGAGAGTCACTACGTCGACCTGCAGCAGATCCTGGAACACCACCAGCTCCTGGAGTTTGGGAGTTCCCTTTCCCACCTGAAAGGGAGCATCGCGGGCACCATCAGGCGCTTGAGGTGGACGCGGACACGGTCCATGAACCTCCTCAAGGAGCGCAAGCACAGAGATTCGGTTGAGTTGATGCCAGGCGGACTGCAGTTTCGATCGGGTGGCAGACGGTCTGGGGCATGTGAAGACCATCAGAAAGCACAAGCCGCCCGAGGAAGATGGGTGGACAAGGAACCTTGTGCAAGAGGCCGGTCTCCAGGAAAGAAGGACGAGGACGTCAAGAAAGACTCAAAGATCTTTGCTTAACCTTGAGGTCTGCTTCAATAGGGGTCTTCTTCAGCTCTTGTCTCACACCAATCTAGTCTAAACTTTTCCCAAGACCAGAACCAGACTTTCTAGAAGTTGCCCATTGGAACCTGTGGCCATTGACTGGCTCTTAGAGGGCAGGAGGCAGAACATGAAGATGTGCCATGTCAGACTGTCTTCAGTGGCCAGAGGGAAGACAGAACATAGCAAAGCAAGATAATGTAACAGGTGACATGCTCACAAGCCACCTCACTGCCACCTTTTGCAGAGCCATGCCTAGCCACAAAAAGCGCCACACACCAGGCAAAAGGGGAGTGCCAGGATGGAACTTTGGCTTAATGTGTTGGAGTCATTGCACCCTTTCCTTTTGATCATCAATGATGAGCAGTTATCCTTTGATATCAATAGTGAGTAGGCCAGGCCATTTGATTGAATCAAATTTGGCAATTGGTGCAATTTAAACATTTAGTTTCAAGTGGTTCTGTCAGTGATGGTGCATGCCATGACTCACCCCATTCATTGAGGATGGAGGACCTGGCTGGATTTGTGGAGTCTAAGAGGAAGAAGAAGTCAAGAGCAGCCAGCAGCAGGAGAAGGATTGATGATGATGACAGCTACTACTCTGATTCATATGAGGATGATGAGGAGACACATAGCTAGAATTAATGACAATGAGCTAGTAGTCACTAGTCACCAGTGCAACCCACACACACTTTGGTTGTGTGACTGGGCATCATGTTGTGCTGGATGGAAGCACCCCAGTTAACCTGGCAATGGCATTGGGGGATGTTTGGAACAATAATAAGACCAGTCATAGACCAGTCCAATCAACAGCTGAGGAAAAGAAGCAGGAACAAACAGAAGGACTTCAGGAAGAAGGACAAGAAGTATAAGAAGAAGGAGAATGACTCAGACTGCTCTGACAATGGAATTCCAGAGCAGCCTGGCCAACATGTATCCACCAAAGAGGTATCCCAAGGTAGAGGTATGTGTTAAGCGCAACAGTGTTCAGCCAAAAATGTACTCAGTGTTACAGTGTTACAGGGTGGGTGTGCTAGGAAAGCTTTGTTTGAGGCATTGGATTCACTTGGGGCCTGAGTTTGCTGAAGCTGGCAGCAGGGCCTTGCCACGCAACCTGGTTTGCACACCAGCCAGCTGTACCCAGCTACTCAGTCACTGAAGTGCTAGGAAAGGACTTTTAAGGCTTGGTCCATAGAACCAAGTGAGGTGTATGAATGACATCAACTGACTTCTATTCACATCAAGTATCCATGTGTGTCAATAAAAAGGGATTACTAATTTGTTTGCCTAGCTAGCCTCAGCCAGATACTTACCAAACTGACTGGTGCTGAGTAGTCTTCAAAGTTTGCATGATCTGAGGCAAGAACTGTGTTCGTCGCCAGGAGAAGGTGCTTCATTTGATGAAAATGAACCCAGACAAGTTTGCACCAAGCACCTTGGATTGGAGTTTGCTGAGTTAGTGTGACCTGTTTTTCACTGCCCAAATAAGTGATGGCCAACATAGCACTTCCACTCACTCCAACATAGCCACTTCCACTCACTTACTTAACAATGCAGTTCACAGGTTTGAGCAGTGTGGGTTGGAAGTTGGCAGCTTGCTGCCCTGAGGCCATCTGAGCAGCCTCAATGAGAAGGAATTGGAACAGCTCTACTTTATTTGCACTGGCTTATCTCCAAAGGTGCACACCAAGGACCTCATATGTGCTACCAGGAAGGACTTGTCACTTGGCCTGACTAGGGTGGGCACTATGAAGATCAATGGAGTAGTATCTGAATCATTCCTTCACACCATAAGTCTGTTTCATTGATGGTGACTTGCTTTTGTTTTTTGTGTTGGATTAAGCTGACTCACTGTCACTGTCATGTGTCAGGTGTGACAGGGCCATGGAATGCTTCACCAGGATCCAGAAGCAGAGTGAGACAAGGATTGAGTCCATCAAGGCTTCTTGGCAGTGGGGTTGGGGGTTGAGTTTGTAAAGGTGGGCTGGGTTGTGTTGACTGGGGACCTGCAAAAAGTGGCAATGGATTTCCTTTGCACATGTAGCGCTGCTACCTACTGGGCCAGCTGTTTGAGGATGACTTCAGCAACCTTGACAGCTTTGCAGCCCAGTTGGGGTGGTACAACTTGTTCAAGAAGCCCACTCCCAAAGGCAAGAGTCTTTGCAGCAAGTCTGAGCAGCTTCCTTTGGCGCCAGTTGCCTTTGCTGGTTTGTATTCATTGGTATGGTATGACATGTGAATGTGCCTGCAATTGCTTAATTATGACTTCTCACATCAAACTTGTAAAATGATATGCCTAGCCTACACTGCCATGGATCTTAAGCAAGGCTTCAAGAACCACCAATTCACATGGAGTACATGAGTGCCTTACACCCACTCAACCCCAAAGCCCATCCCCCCAATCTCAATCTCAGGAATGATTCCAGTGGAGGCCCACCTCCAGATGAGCCCATGGCTGCTCAGAGCTTGAAGCATCTGACTTTGAAAGGGCACCCTGGACTGAGTTCAGTGGCATGACATGCCAAATACATGGCTTTAAATTAAAGAACAGGTAGGGCCACTACCACCTGTTGTTGAGTGGTTGTCTGAACAGCAGCAGGAAACAATAGTAAACTGTAACATAAACTTGAAAAATTGAGGCAAGCATTCAACCCACAGTGCTGGTGGAACTAAACATTCCAGCCATGGCCTACCCAGGCCCAGAGGAGAGCTAGTCCTTCAGCACAGGGAGAGAGGACACAAATGGGTGGTGGGGCCACCTGGCAGCCCTATCATTGTCATCTACAGGGGTGGCAAGTAC